GATTTACGTTGGTTTGACATTTTTTTTAAATCTATATTTTCAAAGTTGTAAATAAAAAGTATATATTTTAAAGCTATATATGTATATGTATCTATATATATAGATACACTCACATACATATCTATACATACACATATATATGTGTATGTATACATATGTATGTGAGTGTATGTACGCGCGCGGGTATATTTATGTGCAAATATGTGTGTATCTATGCATGTGGGTAAGTATGTGTTTACATCTTTATATTTATGTTTCTGTATGTATGTAACAAAATTGAATTTTCTCATTTTTTTAATGCTTTTTTGTTTTTCTTCATTTTTTTTTTAATTTTTATCATATTTTTGTAATGTTTTTTGTTATAGTATTATTACTAGTAATTTTAAATATTTATTGTAACCACTATTATTATTACTTTTAACTTTACTACTATTATTCCTATTTTATTATTTTCAATTTAAATAACTATTTGATGTCTTTGTTAGTTATTACGTTTTTTCAGTCAACTGTTTGTAACTAACTCATATATATATATTTAGCTATTGTGTTTATGAATAACATGTGACTTATAATTTCGATTATTATTGTTATCACAATTACTATTATAATTGTTATTGTTTTTTTATTATTATTATTATTATTGTGGTTCATATGTTTATTACTATAAATATTATTTTTATTATTATCTTATAATTATTACTAATTATATATATAAAGATCTGTATTTTTGGTGTTTACTTAAGATTAGTAGAATTACTATTTGTAAATATCCATGAAATTAATTTTCAGAATATATATGATTGATTGATTGATTGATATGCTTATACCACGTTTTTCTGAACGTTTTCTCAGTAAGCCCAACGTAATAATATCCTTCTTCTTCTTGGTAAATTTTTGCGTTGCAAATATAAATAAGACTTTTTGTAAGGCATTTTCCATTGAGTGCACTCAATGGAAACCACCTTATGTCGACAAACCACCTTATGCCCATGGGCATAAGGTGGTTTGTTGACAGTAGCATAATTGATTAGAACTTTCATGAGAATTAAATAATATCTTTTTATTATGAGAAGTAATAACACTCTTGATGTTTGGAAGGCAGCTATAACTAACCTTTAAGTTTTTTCGATTTAAAAGTTTTTGGAATTTGTTGCATTTAGGGAAACATTTATCAATTGTACTCAAAAATGTTTTGGCTACGTTTGTACTATATATATATATATATATATATATATATATATATATATATATATATATATATATATATATATATATATATATATATATATATATATATATATATATATATATATATATATATATATATATATATATATATATATATATATATAAATATATATATATATGTATATATATATATATATATATATATATATATATTCATAGAGAGAGAGAGAGAGAGAGAGAGAGAGAGAGAGAGAGAGAGAGAGCGAAAGAGAAAGAGAAATGTATATTTTAAGGTCCCATTTTTATGTATTTTTTTTAATATAGTGTATGAAAAAAATTCAAACAATTGTGTCTTTATTTGTTAATATTTGTCAAGATGTTTTTTTCTAAGCAAAACTGGGTACAACTATTGGCTATTTCATTTTATGATATTAATTCCATTTAGTAAAAGAGTCATTCAATTTTTTTAAATTGAAATTTATTTTTTTAAGAATCTTTAAACTTTTCATAATGATTAATATTATTATTTTTATTTATATATTCATTTTTACTGTTTATAGAAGTACAGGCAGATGTTTTTTGTTTATATGTATAAGAATGTATTAGTGTGTAATATAAAAAGAGGATTAAAATTTTTTATGTGATTGCATTTGTTTAGATCAAGTGATATTTAAAATTGTTACTAAATATTTCAATCAAAGTTGCTTATGATTTAATATTTATCATTAAATAAAATATTATAGTAATTAACATTATTTCATTAGGTGGAAATCGTAAATGTTTGAAAGAAAATATTGAAATATCAAAACTATTTAGACAGAGAAATATTTTTTTGTTTCAAAATGTAATAAAGCAAACCAAAAACAAAAATGAGAGTTGTTATTGATTTCATATTTATGAAAAAGAGTTCTGGTATATTCAACTGAAAACCTAATCCAACACTAGAATTACAATCAATATGCTTATACATTTGTTTTAGTCTCTATTCAGGTTATTTTTATTGATATTTTATGTAATTTTTCTTACTCAAAACAAAACTTTTTTTACATCCAAATAACTTATTTTTCTTAACCTGAATTCAACCCATCTTACAAAAGTTTTACATCCATTTATATAAAATATCTACCCACAAAATCAACATTACAAAAACAGCGAAACGCTATTAACTTCAAAAACTTGTTTCGAAATATTTCCCGTTAGTTTTGCTGGCTGCCACTTAGTATGGCACTTTGCATTTGGCAGTTTCAACCAAACATTATCACCATTTTTAAACACTTCATTTGATCCTGTTTTTTAACTTCAATTTTGCTGACTTTATCTTTGTTTGTGATGGCCAATTCACACGAGCTGAACCCAAACATTCCAGACGGAGAAATAAAAACTCCTCCGAGCAATTTACTAAAACTCGTTCCAAAAGTTATATCACCTCCAAACGGTTGAAAATCCACCAAAATAACTCCGTTTTGTACTTGGATACCATCAACCTAAATAGTGACAACCACTAATCCATTACATTAATGAGCTTTACCGTCCAAAGTTGGTACCGTCGGAGGATTGTGGGATTTATTTTGATTTCTTGACAATAGCTATTGATTTATAATTGCTTTTGAACATCCCGTGTCGACCATAGCTTTCGCTAGTATACCATTAACTTTTAGATAAATAGACAATGCACTAATTCCACCATTACACAGCTAGCATACTTACATTGGGCCAACGTATGTAAAACCATCGCAAACTTCGGTTCTCATTTCCAATGCAAAACCAACGTTGATCCAATGTCATTTGGTTAATAATAAAAATATTACCGACGGAGCTAAAAACATCTGGAAAATTTACATTGCTCCAATGTATGTAAAAACATCGCAAAAAGTTGATTGTTTTTACGATCTAAACCCAACGTTGACCCAATGTATATATCTCAACATTGATTCAATGTATATAAATCAACGTTTTTCCAATGTAAGTAAAAACATTGCAAGAATTTAATTGTTTTACGATCTAAACCCAACGCTGATCCAATGTATATATCTCGACATTGATTCAATGTATATAAATCAATGTTTTTCCAATGTATGTAAAAACGTTGCAAAATGTTGATTGTTTTTACGAACTAAACCCAACGTTGATCCAATGTATGCGACCAAACATTGCTATTGCGAAATTATATAACTTAAATAAAATCTTCCGTGATTATTAAAACATCAAACCACAATCAACACAAACATGGTTTTTTTTGATGATCAAGCGTTTCCTACCTTAAATACATAAATTGCCTCTTTGCACCTTTTTCATAACTAATGGTTTTCCCTCGTCCTCGCTTGGGACGTTAAATATAGAAAGGTCCATATATATATATATATATATATATATATATATATATATATATATATATATATATATATATATATATATATATATATATATAACGAAACGCGCGACATTGTTCTAATGTTTTAACATCGTATGTGTGTTAGCTGGGTATTCAGGAGTGTGGTAGCGCACACTTTTCGCTTCTGCCCTCGTTTCCCTGCGTCTTTAAGCATTATTCAGCCACGTGTACTTTACCCCCACATTTAAAACATCGAAACATATTCTTTGGAGCCAGGTTCTTTGCAAGGAAAAAGTTTCTAGCAATATGATTTAACCCTTTGCAGTTATAACACACCAACGGACCTTTTTTAGCTTGATTTCAAAATACAGCACCAAAAACATCATCTACGCACAGACGATTTAAAGCAGTTCTTACTTTGAGTAACATAACATCAATTGGATTCATAACGGCTTAAAATTTTGATCATAAATCCTCGGGCAATCCAACAAAAAACGCTAATCGAACAGACTCTTTTGACAATTTAGCGAGATAAGCCAATCGTTTTAAATTAGCTAAATATGCTTCAACTTTCTCTCCAACTTTTCTTTGTTTTTCCCTGTGATACGAAGCTGCTAAATATCATTTGTGGTCTACAAGCACATTTGCAAAGGGTGAATCTATAAAAACGTTTGGATTAATCAGTAAAGATTATTATGGTTGGTTAAGCAACGTTTTGCGCTTAAGCCATTTTGCACTTATTCAGTCTCCCGGAAAATTCAACTATGTTTTCCATGCTTATTTTGGAAATGCCCTTAATGAAAGTTATGTTGAAAAATTTTGAGCAATTCAGAGTCTCCTATTTACAACCTTAGAAAGCCACCAACACTCCCAAATGTTTATGCTGTCACCCACCATGTTCTACAATTCAGCCAACGCCACTATAGCTCTTTAGGAATTTATTCAGAGCAATGACTAAATTAAAACTGAAGCACTTTAACTTTTTTGTGCTAATTGATAAAGGTACAACAGACCAAGCAACTACCCAGAGAATAGGCTGTAAAGATGCATCACAGACTTCAACAGACTTCGAAAAAATTGATTAGGAATATTACAAATCAGTTTAGACATTTTTCTCAAGAAAAAAAAAATAGAATTGAAACTTTGTCAAAATTGAAGTAAATTGTTATTTACAAGTGAACTTACTGCATAAATATTTTTGTTTTGTTTTTGGGATGAATAAAAATTCTAGGAACTTTGTTGGTTGCTTATCAACTACGTATTTAATGCGATTTTATGAAAAATTTCTGAAAATACAAAAAAGAATATAAACAATATTGCAGCAAAAGCAAATAGTCAACTTGGTCAATAGTCAACCTGGTCAATAGTTAACCTGGTCAATAGTCAACCTGATCAACTCAGATACTTCTACTTAAATAATAATAGTTATTTTATCTTTATTATTAGTAAATGAAAGTGATATTAAATAAAAATAAAATAGTAAATAAAAATGATTCCAGAAACTTAAAAGTGATGTTGCAAGTATAACAAATGTCTGATTGGCATCTCTCTTGATCAAATTTTTCCCCTTTTCAAAAAGATACTTAGCTACTTTGAACTGGATTTAGCTTTGGTAAATTAAAAGTTCAACTTGCACCGTTTATATGCTAAAAACCTTTGGTTTCCCTATATGAAACTGCATCACACTTGACCGAATTCTTGAAAATTTTTGTTACCACCACTTTAAAATCATTGTCGGTTAAGATCAACAACTAATTTATATTTTAAATATTAAACAAGGCGCAACATAGTGACAGAAAGTATTAGTTTTGGGTAGCGGTACTTTATTTCAAAGTAAAAAAAGTGTTACAAGTTGAAAGCGATACAAGTTCATATCCAGCCACACCCAACTCAGCGCCAAGGTAATTTGGTCAATAAAGGATGAATATATGAGCTTTGTATAGAATAATATATAATACAAAATTCAAATAAATTAGGCTACCATTTTAGTCATCCTCAGGGTATAGGTATAAACAATTTGCCAAGAAGCCTAAAAATAAGTTATTGTTAAGTATATAGAAAAACTTAAAAATGTATTTTACCCTTAAAACAAAAATTATTAATAATATATTTGACCTGTATCTGGCTATATGGCAGGCATGGTAGGTTCCAGGTTGATGAAAAGGAAGTTCTGTTACACCTACTCCTATAGAAGATAAATAGTTAACAGAGCTTTTTATAGTAAATCACAGCAGTCAAATCAAGTT